TATTTTCACCAAACACAACACACCTTATCTTACAACACTCTCACTCAGCATATATGACTGAGTGAGTCATATATACACAACATATCTGCTCTTTTGACCCAAAATACAATACTTTTAAAGGACCAGTAAAACACTTTATTATGTCCCATTTGGCAACCCTGCCTGCTGCATTACTGCAGCAGTTACAAAATGGCGTGCACTCACAGACAGTGTAGTTCACTTCATCTCTAAAGAGATGTTGCTCTTTAATATTGTTTATTTACTGTCTCACTTGTTTAATTTCCTTTTTGTTGTTCTCGGTTTCTTTTTCTTCAAGTCCATGTTTTTGTTAGAGACTGAGAGCCCATTTAGCTAAACATTTACTATTGATAGTAAACATTTACTATCGATAGATACTATTATTAACATCATTTAGTTAAACATTCTTTAAAAAATATATTTATTGATCTTTGAGAGGATGTACTTGCATTATTACGCTATTATCATTATATTAGCTTTAAAATGGTGACCCAGACAATATTATCGTTTATTGCAATAATTTCTGAGACAATTAATCGTCCAGCAAACTTTGTTATCGTGACCGGCCTAACCATCTCTAATCATTTCCTATTTGAATTTTCTCTTTTTTCCCCTCCTTTAGGCCGCCTGATCTTTGATAACCTAAAGAAGTCCATTGCGTACACTTTGACCAGTAACATCCCAGAGATTACTCCCTTCCTGCTCTTCATCATAGCCAACATTCCTCTGCCTCTGGGAACGATCACAATTCTCTGTATTGATCTGGGAACTGACATGGTGCGAGCTGATCAAACCCACAGTTTGATTTCTACAAATAAAGCATCAGGCAATTATATTACAACTAAAAGTTGACTTTTCCTCCTCATTCAAAAGGTTCCAGCCATCTCTTTGGCTTATGAAGCAGCTGAGAGTGACATCATGAAGCGTCAGCCCAGGAACCCATTCAGAGACAAGCTTGTGAACGAGAGGCTCATCAGCATTGCTTATGGACAAATTGGTAGGTAAACTTTCTGATCCAGGCTGTGAATTGTTTTTGGATAAGTCGTGTTCACAAACAGTAGCTACAATATTTCCAGACCCATCTCCAGATTTAAAACACAACGTTCTGTTTCCACAGGTATGATCCAGGCTCTTGGAGGCTTCTTTGCGTACTTTGTCATTCTGGCTGAGAATGGTTTCCTGCCCGGTCGACTGCTGGGCATCAGGCTCAACTGGGACGATCGCAGTGTCAACGACCTAGAAGACAGCTACGGACAGCAATGGGTAAGTGGGTTTTGTGTGTTTGTAGTGTTTGGATTTTGCCACTTGGTCTCACTTTTTTCCCTCTACTCCTTCCTCTGCAGACATATGAACAAAGGAAGATTGTGGAGTTCACATGTCACACAGCCTTCTTTGTCAGCATTGTGGTAGTGCAGTGGGCCGATCTCATCATCTGCAAGACCAGACGTAACTCTGTGTTCCAGCAGGGCATGAAGTGAGTGCAAGAGCTACATCTGAATCCCTTTTAGTCTCCAGAAATTGTCTACTGACTTTAAATATCACATATTTTTTAAATTTTTATGTCAGTTATCTTGGCTTCAGCGTGGCTTCTCTTTGCTAATATTTGTTGTGTTTCTGCACTCAGGAACAAGATCTTGATCTTTGGCCTGTTTGAAGAGACAGCTCTAGCCGCCTTCCTGTCTTACTGCCCAGGCATGGACGTGGCACTCAGGATGTATCCTCTAAAGTAAGTGTCAGAAACAAATGTATCACGTAATTAAAGTAAATCAGTTTTTGTTTACTTGATTTGGGTTTTCTTGATTTGTCCGCAGACCTTCCTGGTGGTTTTGTGCATTTCCTTATAGTTTTCTCATCTTTATTTATGATGAAATACGAAAACTTATCCTTCGCCGAAACCCTGGAGGTGAGTTTTTTTTTATCTCCCCTTAAATACTTCTTTATAGATGCATGTTTTATTTGTACAAAGTCTGCACTTGATATGTTCCACTTTTAATAAATTGCAGTTATGATGTAATAAAGTTGAGAAAATTGTATATTTTTCTCCTTCAATAAATCTGACTAGAGATAAGAATAGATAAGCGTATTTCTCTAACTWAGGAAAACACTTTTTGAATAATTGTGAACTTTGTTTTTTTCTCTCCTCTGCACTCCAGGTTGGGTGGAAAAGGAGACATACTATTGATCATCGAAGCACCTCCGCTCAAGCCCCCTACATCTTCTATTCATACTTTTATCCCTGTCACTCCATCCTTGGCAAGATACATCTCCAGATGCCCCTTCCCCTTTAAAGACAAAAGAAAAAAAAAACGCTTTGAAGCAAATTTTCATCACAACTGCCCCAAAGATTAATAACAGCAAAAGCACCTTTACAACTTTCTACATTGACCTGCGCCTTTTCTCCTTACCTCCTATGATACTCTTTGCATGTGTCCTCTCACTGCTGTGTACTTAAACCAATATATCTACCAAACGGCAGCTGCATATTGTGTATGTAGATTTGAATGACCTAAAGCTACAAAGGGAGTGTCAGTGCTCTGCGAAAAGGACCATCCAGCTCCGTCACCCCCCCCCCCCCCCTGCCCCCTGTACCTTCGTTTCCCCCTGCTTTTCCTCGCCGACCCTTTGCTTGCCCTCCAAACACACACAGATTTTAAAAAATAAATAATTCAAAAATCAGTGTGATTTCAACGCCGACACCACTTCGACTGCCACCTCCCGCCTCCGTTTCCTGTTTGTGGAGGACCCACAGAGTGGTCCTCCCACCCGACTGCGTCCATTCTCCGTCTCTTCTGTTCTCCGCGGCCACAGTGTTGTTGTTTTTTTTAATATGTGGAGTAGGAGGGATTTGGATGATTTTATTTGTCTTTTTTTTATTTCTGATGTGGGAGGGAAGGTGTGTGAGAGCTGCTTTYCCTCATTTAGGCTTAACAGAGCACACCCCATGGTGTCCTGTCCTTCCTCTCTCCCCTCCTCTGTCTCTCACACCCCTCCTCTCCCTTCCCTCCTGCCCCATTTGTCTCCGTTTGTGTGCACAGTGTGAACCATTGTCCTTGTTAATAACTAATACAGTACATTCTTTCTCCCATGTTGGTAAAGACAACTCAATCTTTCTGTGTGCTCTAGGAAATCTATATAATTCTATACTGAATTTAAATGAAACAATAAAAAAATCATGTTGAGAAACAAAGTGAGAGAGATACATTCATGAAGGCCATCTACAATATCGGTGAGATTAAAAAGTGAGGATATCTGTCTCTCTTTTTTGTATTTGATTTATCTTTGGTTATTATTACAATTACGTTTTGCTGGTTTCTCAGGAGGCTAAAGTGTAACAGCAAAGCAGGGCTTCAGGTTGTGTTTTTACCAAAAGGCTTCAGGTTCCCGTCACTGCATGTGTGCAGGTATGATGTGGTGAATTGTGCTGTGATGTGGTGAGTGGATGACAGTTGAGTCCATGTGCCTGAGGCCTATTTACTGGACCGGATCTGGGTCCAGTTCAGATGTCTGACCAGTCCGGCCCAGATCCGCGTGTGCACGTATGTGTTGTGGAGACCAGTGAAGGGCCAGCGGTCTCCGATGGCTGACAAACATTGAGACTGAAGAAATAAAATACACAACTAGTAGAAAATGTGTGTGTCAAATAATTGAAACCAACATCAATAAAACATCTAGAACATTTAATACAACCCAGACCTGCTTGTTTTTGCCTTTGTTCTAAGCTATTTTCTTAGGTTTTTTACCTATTTCATAAGATTTGAAAAATAGATTGTGAGTTATTTCTAAGGAATAAACAATTTTGCTGTTTGCTGATAATAAAAAAAAATGCAGATTTGCCTTATTGCACCTAAATGCAATGATGAACACTGACAGGTTTTCATCCTGTTACCTTGTTTGCAACACCTGAAAGTGGTTCGTTTTAATAATCGATAACAARCGTCCCAAATATCCTGCAAATTTTTGATCACGACTGTAAAGCCTGGGTTTAATCTAAAAAAAGCAGAAATTATTATTGCAGAATTTGTGGATTAGATGCCACCTAGTGCTGTGAAAAGATTTGCACTTCAGCCTACAAACTGTGAAAACTGCTATAGGAGGAAGAGTTGGCAGCAGCCCAGGGTAATGCACCAAAACCTCTGTCTGCTGGAAACATTCAGCCCTGCCGAGGACAGGAACATAAATGAGGGTGAGGAGGACAGAATCACAAAAATCACTGTTTAGATGACATATTCTGTCTACATATTGCAGTGTAAATGTAAAGAGCATATTATAATTGTTCCACCTCTCAAGGATCATTTATTTAAAATAAACCTCTCATCTTGTACACAACTGAGGTAAATTAAATTACTGTTAAATTAAACATGAGATAAGAGTTCACCAGTGAGAACATTCAGTTCAAAGATTGTTTTTGAGAAGCACAAAAACTTTCAGGGACTGATCCACCACCTCCCAATGACACCGTTTCCAGCTCAACACACACACACACACACACACACACACACACACACACATATTCTGTCACTCTCGCTGACAAACACCCTCTCGCCCTCACCCTTGTTCTAATTTCCCCCGTGTCTCTGCAGTGAGCTCGCTGCAGTGCGCCTCTCCTCTCCAACACCACCCTACATATAATAGAATATCGATCGCTCGGCTTTGCCGCAGTGTGTGAGCGAGTGTTCCCGTGGACGAGTGCGCGTCGGACTGGGGCCCTCCAAGGTCATTGCCATGGCGACGTGAGCACGGGGTCCTTTGGCTGCGCCGTCACAGAGCACAGGTCGCAGGGGTCACAGCGGAGGGTGGGGGTGGGGGTCGGTGAACGTGGAGTGGTGGTGTGCCCGGAGAGACGGAGAGGAGAGGAATCGTTGGTTTGGCTCCGTCTTACTCCACTGTGCATCAAGACATGGAGCAGAATTCAGTGCAGCTGCTGCACAAACAGAAACAGCTTTTCTGAAAAGAACCAAAGTGATTTTCAAAAAGCYTCGACGTTGTCAGTAACAAAGAGTTTATTGCACTTCCAAAATTCATATACAAAACACTCAATTTCCATCGAATGTGAAACAAGTAATGAACTTCTAAACTACTTTCCATGACCTTTCAGACCTGAATGTTCCAAGCAGATTTAATAAATATGCAATCAGCAACATATCCAACACAAAATGCCAATAATAAAATAAAAATCAAATGGACTTCTGCATTTTCTTCTATTAAAAACAAACTTGAGCATAATGTTCAGACATACAATTTTAAATGGCACTTGATCAGTAGAAACGAGTCATTACCAGAGGTTTTCAAGCAGAATTGTAAAATATATAACAGGTGTATCGTTAAACAGTTAAGGGGTAGCTCACAAATCACAAAGCAGAGGCATCCCGGGTTCAAAATTTGCAAAGGCATTTAATCTGACAAGTAATGTGCTTTAATGATGAAGACACTCATTATTTGTGTATATAGTAGCAGAGTATGAGTGTGAATGAGAGTAACATTTATTTATCATGCAAGGTAAGGTTTTTTTCTTGGTACAATGCCCTCAGATAAATACAAGGAATACAGGACACATTTAAAGCAAAGAAACAGATCTCAGAGCAGTTGTTCCCCACAACCCTCGAAGGTTGACTCAATCACAGGGTCAAACAGATGACTGATCGTTAACAAGCACTCGCTGACAGATCAACTGGAATTTTACACTTGCTCCATGAGGAGTTCATCAAAGTCCGAAGACTCCAGCTCCCGGAACGCAGCGTGAGTCCCGATCACAAACAGCGTGGCTCCTGAGACAAAAAGAAAATGAGGTGTGAACAGATTTATGCAGTTGGCTGAATCGGCAGGAAACGATGGTAAACGAGACTCATTGGGCCTCATGCAGGAACCGTTCGTACGCACAGATTTGTTCTTAAGTTGTGCGTACGAGTGATTTAGGAGAATTTGTGGCATTCACCAATGTTTTCGTATTCTATGATTTTTTTCAGATACCAACAAAATTCACGAGTGGTCCAGACCTGTCGTATATTTTACATAGAAATGCGTACGGTGTGCAGCGC